TTTTTTTTTTTTTTTTTATGGGTTTTTGACCCCCCCTTCCAACTCCAGTTGGGCTGCCCTTCCCCAACCCACTGGATGAACTGGCTTCTGTGTGTTGAATGAAGCCTTTGGCAGTCTCTCGTAAACCCCAGAACATTCTGGCTCTCTTCATATCTCTCCTAGTACCCAACATTTCCTTCTCAGAGAGTTTTCTTTTTCTTTTTTTAAACCTCAGTGAGCCCTCTGGCCTCATGGGTGCTGGCTGCAGACACATCGCTACAGTCATGCTGTTTTTTGCCGGGCGCTTCAGGAAGCACCGTGAGCCCTAAGCCGGCCCTTCCCCTCCCCTCCTCCACCTGGGGTGTTCACGGCTGACATTTCTCATAGGGGAGAAGTATCTCATCCCTTTGTCTTTAACTATATAAGCCTTCCCTCCATCTCTTTCTGAGCCCGATGTCTCACCCTCAGAGAACTATCCTGGGGAGATTCAGAGCCCAGTCTTTGACTTACTGGTTGGGGCAGGACACTTAGCTTCTGTGAGGTGTCATTTCTTTGTAAAAGGCAGACACTAACTTTCTTGCTGCTTTCTCTCTCCTGACCCAGCTGTCCCTTGCTCTCTTCTTCCCTCGTTATCGGTGAGACCCTACGGAAGTTCCTTGTAACAAACTCCCTCATAGCCTCACCCTGTGCTCCTTCTGCCTGCCTGAGCTGAGAGAAATTCAGCTCTTCTCCTGAGGCCGCCCCTTCCTGTAGGATTCCCATCAGCTCAAACCCAGGCACTGTTATCCACCAGCCTCTTATCAGCCTCTCCTCCTTTGATGCTCCTGTCCTCCCTCTTCTCTCCTGTCGCCTGCTCGCCTCCGCCTCCAGCCTGACTTACGCTGAGGGGCAGGAGGCGGGCTTGTGAGGAGCAGGGACCCTTGAGCCAGACTGTGTGGACTGGGCCCTGGCTCCCCTTAGTGTGGCCTTGGGCAAGTCCCTTCTCCTGTCTGTGCTGTGTTCCCTGTTTGTGAAAAGGAGGCAGGCGGTACTGCTGCCTGTGAGTGACTGTGAGGGTTAAGTCCCTAAAGCACCGAGGACAGTACCTGCGGTGCAGTGAGTGCTCCCCAGGGGTCATAGGCACCAATGTGGTTTTGCAGCCCCTTCCCCCCCACCCCCGGGGCTTTGGCATCTGGCCCACAGACTGCTCCCACCTCGAATGAATGCTGTCATCACCCGAGAATGTCCCCTCCTGGCCACTGCCCGACTAACATCCAAATCCCTGCGTTCTTTATGCCCCTCAGGCTGATGGCGTCTACCTCCATGGGGCCTCGTCCTAACCCCCACCTTTTCCACCTGGAGGTCTTGAGTCCAGATGTCTCAGCCAGGCCACACTGGACTAGGTCTCAGCCTCTTCTCTTCCCTCTCAGCCTGTCCCTGTCGCCTTCATCCAGACCGGGGCCTACGACCCACTCCGTGCATCCACTCCCGGGGCCTCTCGTTTCCTGCCTTCGGTTCTTCCCGCACCTGCCTGCCCACACCCCAGTCTTGGATGACCCATCGACCCACGGGGCAACCGAGCCCTTCCGGAGAAAAGCCCCATATCGCCTCCTTTGGTGCCGTGTATGCCCACGCCTCCAGGGCCCTCAGCCTGTCCTGCTGTGGGTACTGGTCAGTCTCAACAGCCGTTCCAGACCATGCTCTTGCTTCTCAAACTCCCATCCCTCTGCTTTTTCAGCGTCTGCGCGGCATCTTGCTTGCTCTAGTTCATAGAGAAACCAGGACCCCAGTCAAGCTCACCTTCCTGTCACTGTCCTTCCAACCAGTGTGCCGTCCCCCACCTTCCTACTGTCGTTAAGGTAAGAGGGCCCTTCCTCTGTCAAAGATGAACCAGCGGGCCTAGGGCAAGGGGGTGTGTGGGGACCTCCCACATACACCTGCGTTTCAGTCCTGGCTCTGCACCTGGGGCCTGTCTCAGCTCAGTCTCCTTGTCTGCAGAGTGGGGAGGTTAATGCCGAGGCCTACCCGGACAGAAGGCTGGGACAGACTTAAACGAGGCAGTGCAGATAAAGCTCGTGCTGCAGTGTCTGCTGCACCAGTGCTCTATGAATGGTCACGATGGGAGTCGTTTCGGTCGTCTCCTGAGTAACTCAGTTTCGGTATCTTTCGCCCTCCCCACCGACCAGCGATTCCCTCCTAAAAGCATCGGTACAGCCCAGACTTGTCCCGTCTTAAATAACAGACAGACCCCAGACATCTCACCTTGACCCCATGTGCCCCGAGGGTTTTTCTCCGTAAAATAACAAGCGTTGTGAGAGGAACGCGGGCACTCGGCCTCTCCTTCCTCACCTGTCCACCCCCTCCCCCCCTCCCCCACCGGCCAGGCCTTTGGCTCTGTGCCCACCGCTCTGCTGCACCCTCACGGAAGCTGCTGGTGATCTCCTTGCTAATAAATCCAGGCGTCGTTTTCCTGGCCCCTCTGATGTGGGGCAGCCGCCTGGTCTTCCTTGGAAGCCAGCCCACCCACCACCCTCTTTTCTTCCCTCAGGACACGTGTCTCCGTTTCTGCCTGGGTCCTGATAACTCGTAGTTGGCGGACTGGTGTCTCCGGTCCCGTCTTCCCCGGAGCCGGCTGTCCTGTTGCCTCACAGCCATGTCGCACACTTGGCTGTCTCGGTGTCCATGATGGCCACGCTCCCGCCTGGGCCCCCTCCCTCAGGAACGTGGCGACTGTGGTCAGCTTTCCTCTCGCCTCTGCCCACTCTCCCCCCTCCCCCTGTATGTTTCCAAGACCCTTCCGTTTCTGCATCTGTGATAGCTCTTTGATTTGTTCTTCTCCCTCCCGCTGGGGCCACCTCGGTTCAGGGGACTCACTGTCTCCTTTGCAGTGATGGCTTCCCTGACCACCCGAGTCACGACTGAGTACGCCCTCCCTCTCCTCGCCCCCACTTCCCCGTTGCCGGGCTCCGCTGTTTTTCTTCACCGCGTGTGTTACCTTCTAACACACAGTGCCCTTTACTTTTATTTATTGTTTGTATTCTTTGTACATTTATTTATATGTTATTTATGGTTCGTCTCCCCTTATTTGAATGTAAGCTCCCGGTGGGCGGGAATCTTTTAGCTCTTTTGTTCTCTCATTTGTTCCCATTGCCAGAAACCACACCCGGCACATAGTAGGTGCTCAGTTAAGGATTTGTTGAATGAATTACTGTCAGTCACTCCTGGTCATCCTCACCTCTGAGGCCTCCAGCTTCTAGGCAGGCTGCAGTTTTCTTAAGCAGGGAAGAGTCACAGTGCCCGTCCTGCCCACCTTTCAGGTTCAGTTACTGCCTCTAAGAAGAAAATGCAGCCAGATTTGCAGTGAACCGCGCTTAAACAGTGAACACAATTTAAAAAGTATAAAGCTCTCTGCAGGTGCCAGGGCATGACATTATCAAACTGGGATCCTGTTAAAAGGTAAGGTTAGCTGATTGGAATGGAAAATCCAGCCTGTTCTTCAAGTGCCGCAGAGCCCACAAGGGGGGCTGAGGCCCAGCCCCATCGGCTGCCTCTCATGTCACATGGTGTCTCTCTCCTCCCACTCCCCCGAGCTGTCCTAGTTGCTTTCAGAATAAAGCCTGAACCTTGAGTGGTGTGCAGATACCCAGAGCCTCTCCTGCTCTGACGTGTTGGCCAGAGCAAGACAGATAAAGGTATTCTGTTCTGTGAATACCAGTTGAATGGATGCAGGCACGGTTGTTTTACAGAGACGTGGGGACGAAAGTGCTTTGAAATATGCTATTAAAAAATGCTAGTTTTACTTTTATTTGTGTGTGTGTGTGTGTGGTTTTTGAATCCATGTGGATCTTACCCACAGAAAGACTTTCTCAGCCCTTTTGTCTTTTTTTTTTTTTTTGCAGTAGAACTCGCAAGTCTCAGTGTTTCCCCCAGTGAGGCTGTTAATTCATCTGGCCACCCACTTCATTCCCCACTTACTGAGCTCCTTCCCTGCCAGGCTCGGTGCTAGACATCAGGCAACAAAAATAAGTCCCGGCCCCTGTTCCCAGGGCATTGCTCCCTATAATTAGACCTTGAGCTAAGGTGGCAGGACTGGCTCTCTCTGAAAAGAAGAATGGCCCAACTTGGTATTTGCTTTCAAATAGGCACAATGTCTGGGGTGTCTGGACTCTGGACCTCAGGCTGCCATCTTGCAGGTCTGGAGCCTGCCGGGAAGCATTGTTTTGGGCTTCTTTGCTGAGCAATCTTGAATTGGCTTCTTCCCCTGGAGGAGACAGTGGCCCTCAGTTGTACCACCCCCCCCCCCCCCCCCCCCCAGTCCTCTTCCTTGCTCCTGAGGTCATTAGTCATTCTGGAAGCTGAAATCGGCTCCCAGAAGGTAACTCTGAAAACATCCTCCACCCTACCAGTAATCCCAGACGGTCGGGAAGGGCCGTTGTCTGGTCACTAAGAGGTGTTATGGTTTCACATTCATGCTTTCTCTCTGAAGAGAAAACAAAACGTGTTGAAATAGAGATCCCAGCAGCAGCTTGGTTGAAGCAAGAATTGCATAACAGCTTTAGAAATGTGTGGCCCTTGTTGGGTCAAGTTGAAGGGCTGCAGCTTTGTGTCACTTGAGGGGACTTTCTCTGGGGCTTCTGGATCCATGGGACGCATCGGGCGAGAGACACAGAGCAGTGGCACCCGAGGTCTGGCTGGCAAAAGCCCTGCCCTGATCTCTCATAGTGACTGCTTTTTTGTTCCCTGGTCTGGCTATAAGGGCTACATTTGAGATGCTCCTTTGGGCAGGGGTGTGTGTGCGTTCAGGCTTGTGCTGGCCTTGAGGCCCCTGGAAAGGGTACCCAACTGGGGCAGGGTAGGCCATAGGAAGTTAAGTCCTGGTCCTGCCATTGGCCAGCTTTGAAACGTTGGCCAAGTTACTTCTCTAGGCTAGTGCCTCCTTGTCTAATAGATTAATACTAGTCTTTTCTTTTTATGTTTTATTTCATTTTATCTAAGAAATAAAAAAAATTTTTTAAATACTTATTTTTGAGAGAGAGAGAGAGAGAGAGAGACATAATGTGAACAGGGGAGGGGCAGAGAGAGAGGGAGGCACAGAATCTGAAGCAGGCTCCAGGCTCTGAGCTGTCAGCACAGAGTCCAACGTGGGGCTTGAACCCATGAACCATGAGATCATGACCTGAGCCAACATTGGATGCTTAACTGACTGAGCCACCCAGTTTTTTTTAATGTTTATTTATTTTTGAGAGAGAGACAGAGTGTGAGCGGGGAAGGGGTGGAGAGAGAGGGAGACACAGAATCCAAAGCAGGCTCCAGGCTCTGAGCTATCAGCACGGAGTCCGACACGGGTCTCAAACTCACGGACCATGAGATCATGACCTCAGCCGAAGTTGGATGCTTAACCAACTGAGCCACCCAGGCGCCCCTATTTTTTATTTTAAATGTTTAGTTATTTTGAGAGAGCGTGCATGTGCAAGTGGGGGAGGGGCATTAGAGAGAGAGAGAGAGAGAGAGAGAGAGAGAGAGAATCCCAAGTAGGTTCCAAGCTCTCAGCGCAGAGCTGGACACAGGGCTCAATCTCAGGAACTGTAAGATCATGACCTGAGCCAAAATCAAGAATTGGAGGGTCAACCAACTGACTGAGCCACCCAGACTCCCCTAATATTAGTCTTAGACTAACATTGCTGTTTCCCTATTTGACGGGGCTGGGATCAGGTGGGATCCCATTTGTGAGCAGCTTTTCTAAACCCTGACCTGCCCAGATAATGACAGATCGTATCAGAGGCAATACACTTAATGATTGAGAGCAGCTCAGGTTAACAGCGCAGGGTCTGGGGCCAGACTGCCTGGGGACGGTGCCCAGACAAACCTCTTTGTGCCTAATTTTTCTCATCTGTAATAATAGGGATAATAACAGGACCCACCTCAGTGTTGCTATGAGAATTATGATATTGAATTATGACACACCTAGAGTGTTAAGAATAGCGTCGGGTACCTGGTAAGCACTCAGTTCGTTTTAGCTCCTATATCGTTTCTAATAAGCGTTATTACTTGAAGGCCTGCCTATGCCTGTATGTCGTTTCTGCACTTGTATATTGCAGTATTTTTGTATTGTTTCGATCTGCATTCTGTCTTTTGATTCTCTTAGCTCTCCTTTGAAGGTGGGAAAAGGCATGAACTGTTTCACGTTTCACAGATGAGAAAACTCAGCTTCAGAAAAATAGCATTTTCTGCTACACCAGAGCTAAGGGGGGAGAATGTGGAAGGGAGCAGGTGAGAGCAACAAGTGAGGTGGGGAGTAGACTCACATGTTAATGGCAGCAGAGCCCCTGGGCTGGGTTCTGAGAGGAGCAGATGATGCGGCCCCAGCCACATTATTGGGAGGGAGGGATTGGAATTAAGGGAGAGCCAGCAGGGAAAGTATGGTGTGGAATGCAGGGCTCCAACACATACGTAGGAGTTCTTTGGTCAGATACTCCAGTACAGAGGGCAAGGGGATGATGACAAATGGTTGTTGCTGTAGGTAAGTCGTGGCTTCACTCTCTGGAGTGAATTGCAGAGGCACCTTCTCTTTTCAGCAGGGAGTTGAAAAGTTGGGCTCAGTATAGTGATTTGAATTTGGACTGGCCTGAGAATCATTTTGCAAATCATGGTATAAAGATGGCCTGTTGGGATGAGCTCTACATCAGAGTTCCGTGATATAGGGCAGCAGTTTTCTTACCTTACACGGGGAAGAGTAGCGATGCCTGACTTACCTTCCTGGTAGGTCTACTTAGTGCATCCAGGAAGAAAGGATGGTCAGGCTTGCAGCGAACGAGCCTTTCTGCTGCTGAAAAGGTATAAAGCTGTCTGCAGGTGCCAGGTCATGGTATTTATTATCAGACTGGGATCCTGTTAAAGGGCTAAGGTTTGCTCCCTGCAATGGAAAATACGGGCTCTTCTTCCAGCCGCTGTAGGATTCGCCGCAGCTGCGTGGCCGCGGGCACTTCACCTCTCTCCTTACACAGTGTCTCCCATCTGTTGAGGAAAGACCAGCAGGCGGGAGCCTGCTCCCGCCTCTTTCGCCGGGTAGTACTCTGAGCATGCTCAAAACAACACACCCAACACTGACTCCCGTCGGGCTGGCACGGAGAGGAGCTGCGTGTGGCTCCTGAGATTGAGGCTAGTGAGTGACCAGGCCACGTGCAGGGGACGTCGGGCCCCGTTCATCTCGGGGGGGTTTGCATTTTACGTGCTCGCTTGTCCTTTTTTTAAAGTGAGTCCGCCCCTTGCGTGCCAGGCAGATGGGGCTGGGGATTTTCCCATCTCGGTCCCTCGTGTCTCGGTTTTCCTTGTTTGTTCACGACTGTGGTCACAGGAAAGTAAGAGGGGAAGGAGGTAGGACACAGACGCCTTTGTCTCGAGGTCCTCCGGTCCTCGTCTCCTCGTGCTGCCCGCTTTGAGGGCAGTGCTGGCGCCTCGCTTGCCCGGGGCCTGGCCGTAGACGCCAGCAGCCCGCGGGAAGCTTGCCAGCCAGGCCTGCTCGGGAGGGGGACGCGCCAGGCCTTGCCTCTGGCTTGCACTGCTCCACTCCCCTGGAGCGGGGCATGTCCCGGGGATGTCCCAGGGCCGTCAGGAGCCTGGACGAAAGGAGCTGACGAGCAGATCTAAGGAGTCCGACCAGAGCAGGGAAGCCTTCCCAAAGGAAAGACGTCGGTGCGTGTGTACATGTGTGGCAAACCCGGGGCATGTCTTTAACTGAAGAACTGAGTCGGTCTCTTTCCTTAGTCACTGTCTCCACAGCTTATTTGGTAAATGTGGGCTTGTGTCAGCTCGGTTCGTAGAAACGTGGAAGAGCTGAAAGGCATTTGCAAAAATGTAACTTCGGCCCCTGGACTTCAATCAGTGACCAAATTAATTAAGGAGGGGGGCACGTGGAGAGTGAGCACGGGTGCTGGGCATGAGGGAGCCAGAAGGCTCGAGACACCTCTGTGGTCTCTGCCCACGGAAGTCCCTGCGTGGCCCGGAGGACAGACTTATGGATGAGTCGTTCCTGTAGGAGGTGTTGAGCCT